TGAATCCACATTTAAACTGTTACTTTGTTTAAATGTTTAAACAATATGAGCACAGACTGATAAATCCTGTCTCAGTAGTGATAATATTACACGGGAAAATGGAAAATAATTATTTATTTCGAAAATGATACAGAATACCCGAGATTCTCACTCAATTTTGTTTTTTCTGTTACATAAATAATGTCCTGCGTGAGGTGTACGTACGCCTCCACTTACTTTATAATGTGGCTTCTTGACCTTTATTAAGATTATATAAAAACTGTATTTTTTAATTCTGTAATGCGTGAAACTGCTATGCCGTTCCTTTAAAATGGCATTTTAATATATTAAATGAATTTCAAACAAAACCTCGTCTACAGTTATGCATTTGCATTATTTGTGTTTGCTTTTATTCTCCACTGCAGACCAGGTGACCTGGTATACCTATCGCCCAAAGACTGCATCCTTCCTACAAATGATGCTTCTGCAAGCGGAAGCAGGTGAGATGGCAATCACACTATTAATTCTTAAAGGACTGTTATTCACTTAATAGGGACTCACAGACACGCAGTATTTCCAGCGCGTGGGGTTACTAGTTGTTGCAGTAGGCCTCTTTAAACACAAGAGGTCGCTATGCTCCTTTGCATCAGCGGTGGTTAGCATTTGCTCCCTTCAAACAAACTCTGAAATTAAGCCAAATCTTTGGATTTTCCACCGGGTCAGATACCTGCTGCCCAGAATCTCTACTGTTGTGACATCACCGAATTTATTTTTACTTTATTTTTTTTTCTTGTCCTGGAAGTAAAAGAGCCTCCGCGTCATAGAGACCCAGCTGGAGGTGACAGAAGTATAATATATAATATAATAATGCGAAGGTTAAAGCTGGTGGAAGCTAAACTGAAAACCAGTTCTCAGCAGGTTTCGTTTGTTTGATGTAAACACTCTTCTTCTCGCCACACATCCTCAGGACAGTTATTTTCCTCGGATGGTACCACAAAGTTTGTCCGTGGGGGGTTCGTTTCTTTTGGCTGTTAGATGTGTGTGTATGTGCACATACATCGAAAAATTCATTTAATCATAACATATAGACTTTAACATTTTTGTGTGTGTTTTGTGTGCTTATTTATGAAAAAGACAGCAGGAGTTGTGTTTTATTGGTGAGGTTTAGCACAGCTCCCCCCCGCGCACTAAGCTAGTCGCCCTGGTCTCGTCCTTTTCACTTTTCGACAAAAAACGCTTTGTCTGTTACTTCAATAGCGAGTTAGTTTGGTTCCAGTGCTGAGCTAACTTTGGTCTTTATCTTTAAATTCAGTTTAAGAACAGGGTGAGGGAGGGTATGTTTTTAAAAAAGTGAAATGGAGGAGGCGTAAGAAGAACTTTCTGTGCTGCGAATAAAGTCTGAGCGGCATCATTGTCGTGGCCTTCAGAGCTCGGGTCTGTGTTTAAGGTTAGCTGGCTAAAGGGGCTAACAGTTAGCTGGAGCCGGCCGGCTGATGCCTCTCTGTGCATCCGAAGCATGTTGATGTGTTCCTGTGAGAAAGTGGATTTTAACATCACGTCCCGCACCGTGGCCCGGCTGGTTTTCGAGGCCGAACAGGATAACAGAAACGGAGGAAACTCGTCCAATGGGAGGTAGGACTTCTACTGACTTTTGAGGAGTTTTAAGGCTCTAAAAGTTTGTTGTTCTTCTTTCTTGGTCTTTCTTTGCGCTGCGGCTGTTTAACGGTTGGCAGGAGGTCGGAAATCTTTCAGGTGGTTATTTTCTGCACCGCGACGAACCGAGCAGCAGACTTTTGCACAGTTTAAACCGCAGAGCTAGTGCGTCTGACTCGGCTGTAGTCGGTGTGTTTGTTGGTGCAGTCGGAGGAGCTTCGTTTCACGGCGGGGACAGATAAGGCTCGCTCGTGTGTGCACGGGGATCACGGTGGCTGGATTACTCTGGGCAAACAAGTCAGTGCCAAGATTGTTCTTGTTCAAACAGATCACATCAAATACTGTCAGACGTGCCGGGGCCCTAGCCTTGGAAGTTCACGCTTTGAAGGCAAACAATGGAGACACACACACACACACACACAGGTTATCGTAACACACGGAGTTATCAGAGTTATCGTAGCTTCGCGTTTGCTAATATCATTTTATTTTGCAGAGTGGATTTCCTCGTTTCACTGTTTGAAAATGTTATGATTATGTTTCATTGGTGTCAGTGTAGCTTTAGTGTTTTTGCTCTAATGCAGAGAGTATTTATGAGGATCATGATTTTAAGAAGTTCACAATAGTTATTACAAAAACATACACACAGCAGTTTTGAAGGCAGGGGTGTTGACCTCCAAAATCTCTATAAACATCTGCACCAAAGCCTCATCAGGTGGGCTGTGATAACAAATTTAACCAAAGACTGAAGCTAACACACATTCTGGGTTTTGCACAATGTTGTTTCAGTTTGTAAACACAAGAAACTTTAACAAAAAATGATGCACAAGCAATTACAAAGTGATTCTCTGTTGGAGGACCCGTCTGCACTGTGTTTTCAGATAGTGTTGGCCTTGGCAGTGCCAGCTGGGCCTTGATACCAGCCACAGATTTTCCAAAGTTTGTGTTTGTGTCTCATACTGAAAAGAAGTGTGGGGTTGTTGCTGTTATTTTTGCCCATTTGGTAAACATAATTCAGCTTGAGGTTTAAGTCAATTGAACCATATCGAAAAAAAGCTAGTTGAAAATGTTCCCTGGTGTATAACTTTTCTGACAAAAAAATTTAAAAAATTTTTTCTCAATCTACAAGCTATCTTAGAAAACTGAAAGTTTACTATGAGTTGAGGCGTCTTTGAGGTATATAGGTGGTAGCTGTTATTAACTATTTATTTTATGTTTCCACAGGATATAAAACTCCAGCATCTCTTAATGTTTCAAACCTAAAGCAAATAAAACTGAGCAGGGAGGGGGAATTATTGCGCTTGAAATCAACCCTTTTAAATCAACAGAGGCTCTTTCGGGGTTTTTGGATCTCTTGTTAATTCACAAATAAAACAACATTTACACCAATCAGTAATGTCTATCGGCTAATTTACCCCTATTTGGCTTGTTTGATCATAAAGGTTGCATATCTGTTCAGGAGCAGCTGCGTTTTAAAAATTGGTCTCTTGAGGTTTTAATTAGTGGCTGTTATCTTAACATTCACATTCACCCAGTTTTGGCTATTTCAGAGTTTCTTGAAGGGAGAATTTCTTTAAAAATAGTCAAACATAAATTAGCTCATTACAGATGAATTCTATTGATCAGTCTTCTGATAATCATTGCCGTCTGACGGAAATGTCTCTAATCAGTTAAACCATTACTTTAACAACTTGTATGTGAGGAAGCAGATTTATGATAGCTGTGGTCAGGTCCAGGCAGGCCAGCGTTTTGAACGCCAGGTTTCTGCTCTTGTTGCTCCTCAGGTGGCTCCTTCCAGACAGTGCTATGTTTTTCTCTGAGGCTCCCTTTCTCAGGAAAGTCTGCCTAAACTCGAAAGAGTGAGACTTCTAAGCTGAACACAGAAGTGGGAGGATCGCAGGGCGTTCTAGCCTCTTGTTGCCAGCATATATGTACAGACTGGACAGCGGGAAGTGGATTGGTTGAAGAACTGAAACTGAGACTGCCAACAAGTTTCCTGCTGCGTATTTTTTCTGTGCAAGAAACCCTCAAACCTGTTCACTTGAAAGCTGTTTTGCCTTTTTTACCACTTCAGGAGAAGTTAACCAGCACCTTCAGAAGAAAATCTGTTAAATTCACAGGAAACATGGTGCGTAATCAGTAAGTCGCTGTCTGTGGCCGACATAATGACTGAAACGCCGTGGTCGGTTTTAAATGCTCGTCCTTCTTGATGGCCTTGACTGAAAAGCTCAAAAGATGACGATGTCCCCTCCTGCGAGACCAGAGGGCATGACTCTGGCTCAGCCCATCCCCGTCCCAATGCTGACCGTCCTCCCGCCGTCCTCGGACACAGAGTCCTGGTCTTGTTCGCCTAGTCCCAGACCCCTGCGCTCCGACCGACCCCGTGGCTCCCACCGTAGTAGGACAAGAACCAAAAGGCGGAAACAGGAAGAGCAAGGCTGTGCTTATAAGCCGCAATGGGGCAAAACTCCACAAATCGTGATAGAGTCGTCCACAGAGAGGGGAGCTGTTCAATATCGGAGTCCCTCACCCTCTTTGGTTACTGAGATGGAGACAGCGAAGCAAGGTCGGGACAGTCCGTCACATGACCTCCTCGTACCGCCGTCTCGCTCCTGGTCTCGTAGTCCGTCACCCAGCCGCCGCTCTCGCTGGTCCCTCAGGAGCCTGCTCGGCAGGGACTCTGACGGAGACCGCTGCAGGTTAGTGTGCTGGATTCAGTCAGTGATTTATTTGTTTTTATCTACAGTTTATCTGCTCCTCATGGCACAGGCCAAGCTCAAGCTTGTCTTTTTACCTTCAGTGATTCAAGTGAAGGTTCTTTCTTATCTCGCAGCACATAAAGTTCAGGAGGTCAGAACAGAGCGTCCGCACCGTGTTCAGCAGCCTCCTGGGTATTCTGTGCTTACATCTGTGTAAAAACATCAGCCGATTTGCATTCAGGCCCGCTGAGACGGCGGTGACTCACACGAGCTGTGCAGCCTCTCATCTGTGCACATTTGGTGAGAGATAAAAAAGCACATGACGCTCTCAGTCATATTTTTCTCTCTGAAACTACACGAGAGCAGCTATTATGGATTAGGGTGAAGGTAATTACCTAAAGCTAGTGAGGACAGGATGAAAAGGTTTTCTTTCTCTTTTTATTTGTTTGACATATAGTTCGTACAGTTAAGGAGGTGGAAAAAGAGAAGAACTGAGCTGTATATCCAGGGTTTTTCCTTTATATGTAAAAATAGGTGTGGGCCTTCTCATAAAGCTTATTCTCCTTTGGGGGAAGGCCAAAACATAAATAAAGAACTAAAGTGAAGGAAAAATGTAATATAAATGTAATCCATCCATCCATTCGGCTCCGTTTATCCTTTTCAGGGTCGCGGGGGGCGCTGGAACCAATCCCAGCTGTCACAGGGCGAGAGGCGGGGTACACCCTGGACAGGTCACCAATCTGTCGCAGGGCCAACACACAGAGACAGACAACCATCCTCGCTCACATTCACACCTATGGGCAATTGGAATTAATCAATTAACCTATCCCCCACAGTGGGGATATAAATGTAATATAAATATAAAATATAAACTTCTTGGTTTAGCATTTTAGCGATATGCACACAATTTGATATTGTTTGATTTATAAAAGAACATAGAGGAAACACAATGTTCATTTCTAAATCAACATCCAGTAACACTTAGGAAAAAAAATGATATTCCAGTTTTAGCTTATCTCATCGTTCCACACAAACAGGGCGCCTTGTACCACAGAAAAAGTAACAAGTTTAGTGAGTAGATCCAGCAGCATAGAAAGGAGACAACGCGTAAAGCCTGCGCACACACACGGCTGTGCTGCACGTTCAAAAGTCAGAATAACTCCTGTAGATGAGTCTGTATGTGGTTTGTGGTGTTTTTATGTGATACCTGTAGCTGCTGTTACTGGTGGGCTGTTCTCTAATGCTCTCACAGATCCTCAGCGATGTGCTTAGATTGGTAAAATTGCCGTTACTGCCTCTGTACATATAGTAACTTTTCACCTAGATGTGTCTTATGGTGTTGAAAAGTTTTGTGGTTAAATGGGCAACATAAAAATAATGTACAGGGTGGGCCATTTATATGGATACAGCGTAATAACATGGGAATGGTTGGTGATATTAAAGTCCTGTTTGTGGCACATTAGTATATGCCATTTAGAAGTCGGCCATCTTGGATACAACTTTTGTTTTTTCAATAGGAAGAGGGTCATGTGACACATCAGACTTATTGGTAATGTCACAAGAAAAGCAATGGTGTGCTCGGTTTCAACGTAACGTTTTTCTCTGAAGAGATGAAGAGATTATGTTCACAAGTAAACCCGAGGATGCGTTATCTTGTGATGGTGGCATTAGATTTCGTGTCAGTGAAACTGTTTCGTCAGGGTTTGGAGTCGGCCTCTGCGTGCAGCTGTGCAGCTCATTTCAACATCTGTGCATTAACTCTGTATAACTATTTTTTTGAACAGTAATAGAATATATATATTGCACATCATCTTATATATTAAGCCAGCATATTCTGCTTTCGCTCTTTTGCACACATCTGTTTCAATCTCCATATTTTTGCCTCCTTTTCTGTCATCATTTATTTATTTGTACTATTTGTATTTATATGTTTTATTCTATATATTAAGCGGCATCTGTGGGTGGACAGCACAAGAATTTCATTGCACAGAGAAATGCCTTTTTCTCTTGTGATGCATGACAATAAACACTTTGAATCTTGAATCTTGAATCTCTAACCTGTCAGAAACCAGCTGCAGCACATTCGACTGAAGCAAGTCGGGTCAGGTGTGCTTCTGCAAAGCTTGATAATACTTAGACAAGCTCCTTTTTCATGATTCTGTATTTAAATGTTCAATCAAAATATATTTAAAGCTATGATTAAAGAGTTGTCATCTCACCTTTCTACAATTTTAAAAAAAGGAAAGTTTGTGTTTAAGCTGAAAGTAAATGAAGTTTCCTTTTTTATTCTTTAAGAAAAGGACAATTTTGTGTCTCCAGGCAAATAAACATTTCATAACTGCAGGGTTGTTTTTTTTAATTGTTTTTACCTTTACTGCATTACAAAGGATTTTGTGTGTAACAGCGTCTGAACCCCACCTAAAGAAAGCTGTGTCCTGGGTGTGATTGTGCTTTATGTTTTAACATGTTTAATAGTTTGATTCCATGCAGAAGCTCATTAGTCCACCACTGCTCTCTGCATGTGGCTGCTGAGGTGTGCCTCTGTGCCCGCGGAGTTTCCCACTGGTTGTTTTTCCTCTTCTCTGCGTAAAAACCATAATCAGTGCTGTGGCGATGGCTCTAACAAAATGCTATAAATGATTGTTCAGAGTTTAAACAGAATTATGCGGGTGGGGGTTAAAGTTCACAGCCTCTTCTTCCTGGAATCTCCCAGAGGAGCAGAAAGGGTCAGATCTGGTTACTCCAGGTTCAAGTAAAATTTAAACTGTTTATAAAGGGATGGGCTTGTTTTGGCAGCGTGATTGATTAAGGATGTATTTGTAATTTAGTTACAGGACAACTTTAAAATGATGAATTATGAGAGGAAATGTACTTTTCACCTTTATAGACGAACAACACTATAGCCTTATGATGCCAAAATAACTGGAGATATGATTCCTGTACCTCGTGACAGAATCTACATAATTCCCTGTTTATTTTCCTCCTAATTTCTAATTATTTGGATTTATTTATATCTGAAAAGCTTTTATGCGACACATGTCTAAGCAATCCTCCCGTTTTGACTAAAAACTCATTACAACACAACTTATTTTATTAACATGGGAGTGTTTTTATCTTAGCTTTTCTTTCTTCCCACATACCATACCAGTCATTTGTTTTTGCAGATTACCTGTTAAAATCCTGATTGAGTCCAAGTATGCTATGATGTCAGATTTTAAAAAACAAAAACCTAGAAGCAGTCAGATGGCAGGATCGCAGTGATCAAGCAAAGACTGTACCCTGTATTTAAACACATCAACATGACTGCTCCAGATGACCTGAGAGGATGGTGTGACTTTGAGGACAGAACCCGGGTTATGTAAACTGTAAACAAAGAAAATGAGACCACCTCTGAAGGAAAAGCGGAGCTGAGTCAGGCACAAGGACCAGAGGCGGGGTTCCTGCACTCTTTATCCGTTCCTCGGAATGATGATATCACCTCCAGCCAATGGGAGCGAGTTCCTGGTCTGATGATGTCATGTGAGCCCAATCAGATGAGGGATGTGTGGATCACTGCAGTGGGCTTCTGAGGGCATGCACATGAACAGCTGTGCCCTTGTCCTCTTCATCGGCGCCTCCTTTTATTGACCCACTTATATTGTTGTGCTGCATATTAATGATTTTTAATGTTCACAGCTGACCCGGCCAGCGAGGATTGGGGAGGGTTTTTTAATGGTGAAAGCAAATGTTTGTGGAGCTTAAATGGAAAAGAAAATATTTGGTTTAAATAATGTTTGGTGAAACTGGGGCTGCACAGGTTTCAGAGTTGTCACAACATTTGCATGTTTCCCACAGATTTGTAGTTTATTCAGGTTGGGATGTGTCTGCAGTGAGTTGTCAAATATCACGTCGAATTATCAAATCGGC